GGGATGGAGGTGATCTTAAAAAAAATCACATCAAGAGCCTATACACATATGAAAGATAAGGGGTGGCTTGGCCCCTTCCCCACCCTGTCCCTGGGAAGGCAGGTCTCTCCTCCGTTTTCTTGAGGCTGAACAATTGCTTTTTTGTGTGAAGAAGATGATGTCAGCGGCTCGTCTCCTGGGGTGGACCTGGGCTTCTGAAAGGACTATTTAAGAAGAAACACACATTTATAGCCAGGGAATAGGACTATAAAAATATTCCTTCAGACAAAAAGTGTTTTTGAGAGGATTTTAAAACTGTCACCAGGTTTTATTTTCTTAATAAATTGCTTTTGCAAGCATCCCTGACGCCCTGTGGAATTGGTGTGTTTATGCACTGGTTGCTATTTTAAAGTTGCTCTAAGCTGTTTTCCAGAGTCTCGAGTTCTCACCAAACCAAATCTATCCAGCCTCACTGCTATTCCTCCATTAATACTCAAGACTGAACATGTTTGAAGGCCACAGTTCAAGGTTCAGAGGCAGCATTTAGAGCGTGGCAGGACTGAACTTGGATTCTAGCACAGCAAGGCTGAAATGCTTGGAGCAGAGTTTTGATTTCAGCATATGTGTGGAGTTGTCTTGTTTCTACTTGTGGCTATTTCTTGCAGTTGTGACTGCCTAAAAGTGTTACAGGATTTGAAGAAAGGGAAGGAGATGGGTTTAGGAGGGGGGTTAAAAGACTCTGCTGAGTTGAGACAGCGTTGCATAGAGACCAAGGGCAAGAACTCTGATCGCTTGTGATGAAAATCGCAGATCAGCTGGCTGTGCTGGTGCACACCTGTTGTCCCAGCTACTCGGGATCTCTTGAGTGCAGGAGTTTGAGGCCAGCCTGGGAAACATAGCTCCACTCGGCCTCAAAAAAGTAAATAAAATCAGTCTGGGCATGGTGGTTCACGCCTATAATCTTAGCACTCTAAGGAGGCAACGGTGGAGTGGAGATTGCTTGAGCTCAGGAGTCTGAGACCAGCTTGAGAAAGAGCAAGATCCTGTCTCTGTTAAAAATAGAAAAATTAGCCAAGTGTGGGGTGGCACTTGCCTGTAGTCCCAGCTACTAAGGAGGCTGAGGCAGGAGGATCACCTGATCTCAGGAGTTTGAGGTTGCTGTGAGCTATGGTGGTGCCACTGCACTCTACCGGGGCAACAGAATGAGAGTGTGTCTCAAAAGAATGAGGATGACCTCAATGAATGAAGCGATTACACAGATGCAGGTAAGTGGAAGAACCCAGATTTATTCAGGTCCCCAAGTCCCCTGTCCCCAGGTATCCTCCACACAGCTGATGCCTCAGGTATGGTGGCTCCTGGCAGAATTAAGTAATAAATGGCCATATGAAATACATCTATATTAGGGAGTAGCAACTTAATTTAGTTTTTAAGCTTCCTGGAAGAGGCTAAAGACTCTTCATGGCTGTCCTTTACCAACTGTGGCTATAAGAGAGTAGCAGAAAATAAGCAACCTTGGCTAAATTCAAATTCCAGGACTAATGGAGACTGTCCTAGAGCTTGACAGCTTGCAAGCTGTTCAAAGGCAGGAATTATAATAAATCATAAACATAAAAAAATATTAAAAGCTACCGTATCTTGTATGCCAGAGATTTATTCTTTCAACATTCCTAGGAGATAGACACTGTCATACTCTCCATTTCACAGAAGAAGAAATAGAGTCACAGAAAGCTGATTTAATCTGTGGAAGGTCACCCAGCTGGTAAGGTGCAGAGTTGGGATGTGAATTTTCTGGCTCCAAGCCTGTTCTCTTCCTACTGCTCCTGTCTGCTTCTGCACAGCGATCACCTCTATGTCCTTGGTCCCTAGCACATGGCCCCAGACATAGAAGATACTTAAAGCTTGATATGAAGTATTCTCAGCTGCCTCTTTATGGTGCCAGATAGAGAATCTGTGCTCTGTACTGGATTTTTCAATCTAAAATCCAAATGTGCTAATTCACTTTTCCCTTAAACATGTGCTTCTCTAGCCAGGTATATCCACATTTGGGTTAGGAAAATGTCTTCTGGAGTATCCAAGGTTGGCCCCCACCTCTGTTTCACTTTATGCTGCACATCAATTCTCCAAGCATCTGATATAGCTCAGCTCAGAAATACAAAAACCCAAGGATTTTCTCCATGGGACCATTCAATCTAGAATAAATAGAAGAGTGCATTCAGAATGTGAAACCATCAGCTGTCAGGGACCAGGCTTGCAAAAGCTGCTGAAGACTTGCTTCCAAGTTATAAATTTTCAGTCCTACAAACATCATCCCCCGTCCCTCTCAGCTTCCTGCTCCATTCTATTTAAATAAGTGGCCTCCACTGGGAGATTGTAAACATTGTCTCTAACACGAAAACACATGAATGAATATTAGGCTCCTGGGAGATTATTATAGAAGTCATTATCCAGGTGACTTGGCTTTGGCTTCCGTCCTTTGTAGCTAATGTGGATGTGTGTTGTCTGCCATGAACAGAGGGAATACACCGAACAACTATTTCGCTGTAGAAATGATATTTTATTCATTAATGCAGTACATAATTTGTTGAGACCTGTGAAGTAAGTACCAGGGAACTCTTGTGTTTGGAGCTAGCTAAATCATTCAGTGGCCATTCTGAGTCCCAAGGAAAGCTCCCTTTCATTTTATCGTTGCTGTTCTCAAGAAGTAGGCACCACATAGGAATGCGGAAATAATTCCGAGAGGCAATTATATGATGTCGGGTTGTCCAAGTGTGAGGGAATGGGCACTCTCATACCCCGAAGATGGGAGCACGGATTGATGTTATCATTTGAAGAGACAATTAGAAAGCATGATTAACCTGCAATTTTACTTTTAGAAATATATCATAACATCCTAGCATTATGGATCAGTGCATGTGCACTAAGCAGTTCCTTGGGGGTATTGAATCAAAAAGAGATATATTGGAAACGACATAAAATTCACCAAGAAAGAACAGATTAAGGCATGACCCATCCAAACAATGGACTGTTATGCAGCTGTTAAAGGGACCGAGATATGCCTTATGTTGATAGCTATCCAATATTTTATAGGTGAAATAAATTCATTTGCCTGCAAAACATTTTGCATGGCCAATTCTTATTTTGTTAAAAATATCCATTTTAATCATGCATTAAAAAGACTCTGGGAATATTATCACCCAATAGTTAATAGTGGATAAGTTTGTGATGAAGACTAGGAGAGAGAAGATGGCTTTCATTTTTCTTTTTTCAAGACAGAGTCTTGCTCTGCTGTCCAGGCTAGAGTGCAGTGGTGTCATCATAGCTCACTGCAACCTCCAGCTCCTGGGTTCGAGAGATCCTCCTCCCTCAGCCTCCCCAGTAGCTGGGACTATAGGTATGTGCCACCATGCTTGGCTAATTTTTAAAATTTTTGTAGAGATGATGTCTCACTATGTTGCTCAGGCTTGTCTTGAACTCCTGGCCTCAAGCGGTCCTCCCATGCTGGCCTCCCAAAGTGCTAGAATTACAAGCACTAGCCACTTCACCCGGATGGCTTTCATTTTTGATTTCACAAACTTTATTTCAGGGTACTTAAAATATTTTGAAAGCATGTGGGTGGGCGGGGAAGGAACCTCTTGGCAAGCTTAGGTATATTGCTTTACCTCCTATAGAATTTACTTTCTTGGACCGAATGGCAAAAAATTAGCAAAAACTCCTGGGGGATGATGCACATCCCTACTTGGGTGGTCACCATTTGGCCCCTCCCTCCCAGTTTTGAAGAAATGCTGGCAAAGAAAATATGCCACATCACCCAGTGCCTTCTTTTCCCCAACCTCGTGTGTAGCAACACACTGCATCTACTCATGAGAAATATTTCAATCTGTCATTCAAAGAGGGAGGTAGAATATTTTATAAGAAAACAAGATTTCACTTAAGAAACCTCGCATCAGACCTAACTTTTATAAATAAATGCCCCTGGAAAAGGGCACTTTGGAGCCATTAAGACAAAATACAACAAGACAATACAAAAAGCTCCCTTTTACCCACCAGCAGTCTGTCATGTCAAATCAAGATTTTATCGTTGTTAGTATTTTTTTTAGTGTGTTTTGTTACTAGTGAAGTGAAATTGATAAGGAAATAGTGTCATAATACTTATTTTTAAATATCCTGATATGAAAATGACTGAGTATGATATAAAACATCATCTTTTATGCAGATAAAACATCATCTGCATCTTGCTGCTTTTTTTCTTTTTTGCTTTGCTTTTAGCATATTGCAAATCAATTGCCATCCCCTTTGTTTTCTCGCAGTTTTTTTTCCACCTGTTAACCCAATTGAATCCACCTCATATTGGGATTGCTTAGGAAATTCAATTTTGCACCAAAACGTCTTCAAACACTATATGACTTTGCATACTGATATATTTTTAAGTTAAAGAACAGTTCAATTTCTCTGTCTATACATGAAAAAGTTTAAATATAGACTGTCCTTATGCTGCCAGGCATATGAAACTATACCTACATGATGACCAATGACAAAAAAATGAAGTCACTGCTACCAATGCCTCTATCCTCTACTACATATTTAATAGGATTATAGTTATCTTACAAATATACTTGAATAGACTTATTCAATATCTACAAGTAAATCAGTGTACTTGCTTAATCAATACGTTCTGCTTGCCCTATATCATTCATGATACCAGGTGTTCAGGTAACCAGGTGAGCTCCCTCTACAGGGACATTCTACATATCTAAGCCCACCTAACAAAAGATACACAATATAGAAACTTTTTATATTCCTACTTTTTTTCGATTAAAAAGAAAAGCCCAACCACATGATTCTTTTAAATATTAAACTGTCCCAGAGAATTAAAAGGTCACTCAATTCTATGAAATGCCATATAGGCATGACAGTGCTGTCACCAGGGACAGTCTTCTGGAGGAATTTGGAAGTGAACACTGTCCAGCACCTCCCCACACCCAATAAGCCTAGAATTTTGCTAGATGGAGAAGCCCCGTTACCTTTCACTCGGCGTTTGCTGTGCTTCCTGGCTTTTAATTTGGACGGGAGGCTGGTGGTCTGGTCCAGGAGTAAGGTAATCACCAGGAAGCAAATTATAAGTCCGTTCTTTGCCATGGCTCTAGAGCAAGCCTGCTGGCCCCTGTGCCAGCCCCTCTGCAGCAGCTATGGAGCAGGTAGAGTGCACGGCCACATCTTGCTCCGGGCCGCCTGGGGCTGGCTTTATAAAAGTGAGCTTCAGAGGTTGGCTGGAATCCTGCTGATGAAATGTTGGAGAGCCTCTGCTGGCCACAGCATAAGGTGGCTCCTTGTTCTCATGCCCCGTGTTAGGCTTCTTATTTATTTTTGCTGCATTTCCTAGTGATTGGCCTTTTCCAAGAGTATCAGAGTTAACTAAGAAATTGGCCAGCCTCTCTCTCTGTCTCTCTCTCTCTCTCTGTCCTCTCTCTCTCTCCTCTGTCTCTCTTCGTCTCTTCTCTCTGTGTCTCTCTCTGTCTCTCCTCTCCTCTTCTGTCGTCTGTCTTCGTCTCTCCTCCTGTCTCTCTCTCTCTCTGTCTCTGTCTCTCTCTCTCTGTCTCTCTGTCTCACTCATTTGAAGTCTGGGAAGCTGGGGGTCTCTATGAAGACCCAATATTTAGTTCTTTGGTTTGGAACTCTGAAATTCACTAAATGTTCTAGAAAATGAATTCAATTTAGTTGTAAGGGCGCAACCCCTCTCCAAAAAGAAAACCTAGGAAAGTTACTGTGTGTGTGTGTGTGTGTGTTGTGTGTGTGTGTGTGTGTGATGTCACAGCATCATTCATTTAAATCAGAGCGTCTACACACACTCATGTACTCAAGTGTCTGCAAAGCTCACTTGGAGGTTGGGGATGGTTTGCTCAGTGGAATGGGACTTACAGGGAATCGCTCAGGTGGACACATTGTGATAAAATGTAAGGCCTCTCTTACATCTATTAGGGTTTCGTGGACTCATCAAGATTCACATTCTTGGGAAAACACAATTTAGAGTGCAGAGAAATTTTAAGAGGTGGATTATTTCCGTGAGAAAGAATCGTAATGTATATCGAGTGATAGTACATTGTAGATTCCCACCCTCCAATACTTTTTTCCTTGACACATTAAATATTAATTAATCTTTCTCGTTTTCAAGTGATTATGTAAATAACAGGAGGAAATATAATGAAAGATCGCAGTGTAATTATTCTTAACCTAATCATAGGCTTTTAGGACAAGTGTTGAGATCAGATAGGCTTTGCATAAAAGGCAATGGACTTCATCCAGATATAGCCGAGATAGAGGGAGTTAGACGCAGAGAAGGGCTTCTATACGCTCCACAAGGCTGTATGGATGGCCAGGTGCAGTGCAGCTCAGTGGGCATAGATTTGGACAGGCCTGAAGGACTAAGCTCAGTTTGTGGTTGTTTTTGTTTTTTGTTTTTTTCCTATTTGAGAAAATACAGGAAGAATCAAGGAATAATCACTTCCTTCTGAATCTTAGGAAAAACATAGTCTACTTCATCTTCATTTCCTCCCAGCTTAAGCCACTTTGTAACCTACCTACACAACAACCCCAAAGTAAAACCACTGATGCAGACAAGTCCAACATAATTTGGCAACATAAGTGTGAAATAAAACATAAAGATTTCATCTACAATGCTGACTCCTTGTACTCATGCAGGCAGTCTATGCGTAGGCATTTGAGAGAACTGTGAAAACAGGCCGAGCTGAGTTCACATCCTGCTTTCAACTCTTATTGGCTGTGTTATCTTGATGAGCCACTAAACCTCTCTGAGTCTTCCTCACCTTAGCAATGGCTAGGGGAAGATTAAATGAGATAATGGCCATAAAGCACTTAGGGCGAATGCCCAGTACCATATCAGTAAGATTCTTTACCATTGATTATAGATAATATACTATATACAATACAATATATATAATAATAATATACACAATTTATGGAATGCCAAGTCTTTTTAGTTTTCACAGGGAGCCTATGGGGTAAGTGTTCTTCTCTCCATTTCATAGGTGATTGGAAGTTAAGTGGTTTTGTCCAAATTCACTAAAGATCCCAAGGATCTGAGTAGACATTTCAATCTAGTTTTGATTGACACCAGAAGACCTGGGCTGTGAAAATGTGCTTTGGTTTGGTGGGGGGAAAAGATCAATGTTTTCAATTGATCTTATTATGATTGATCAAAAGTGTTCTTTGCCATATTCCCAAATCCTTTAGGATTTTAAGTTATGGAATAGCGGCAGGAAACTAAGGATGTCTCTTGGCTCTTTGATCTGCACTATGCTCAAACTAGACTTATAAGGACAAAGTTCCTTTTTTTCTTCAAAATAAATCTCTATTATTTTTAAGTTATTTTTCCTTCCCAGTAAAGCCTCTGATGCCTTTTTGATTTTTCTTTGAGACATATCCTAAAGAGCAAGCTTTCTTCTTTTTAAATTAAGGGACTTTATTTTTTTTTTTAAAGCAGTTTTAGGTTTACAGAAAAATCGAGCAGGAAGTGCAGGGAGTTCCCGCATGGCTCCTCTTCCCACCTCTCCCCTGCACAACATCTCCAGGTATTAATATATTGAATGAATACGGTGTATCTGTCACAACTGATGAATGAGTATTGACATATTGGTATTAACTAAAGTCCATAGTTTACATCGGGGGCACCCCTGACGGTGCACATTCTGTGGGTTTGGACAAATGTACAATGTCCTGTCGCCACCAGTACAGAATCCTCCAGACTAGTTTCACTGGAGCTCGCACTTTCTGTTCTAATTAAATATTTAAAGGTTCACCTCTTCCTCACCTCCAGTGCCTGGTGCTCCTCAGGACTGTCCCCTGACTTTTGTTATCCCCGAGGCTCTCCACCGAGATGACTTTGTTCCCTCTCATGGTCAAAGTACCCTGCTTCCTTGATAGCCCGTATCACAATTTCTTATTTAAAAATGTATTTACTTAATCGATTTACTTGCTAGATGTTGGTCTGTAAGCTCCTGGAGGGCAGGGGCTGTGTTGGGTTGATGTGATTATACATGCAGCACAGTACTTGGCCCATAGTATTTGCTCAATAAATATTTACAAATGTGTGGTGGGACAACTTTGCTTTTTCTTACTCCCTTCCTGCCTCCTCTCTGAGGGCTCCAGCAACAAGGCACTTGACAAACACCAAGGAAAACAGCAATGCAACTCACAGAAGGGTGAGGGACTGAGACTGGCTTGTGTTCACACTTGAGTCATGCTAAGAAACCATCATTCTCAGCACTGGGGAAAGCTCTGATGATCTTGTAGGTACTTGGCCCCGAGGCCAGACAGGGATGGGAACTTTCCCTTTCTAACTTCTCTTCCTCCTGCAGGGATTTCAAGTCTAGTCCATCACTCTTCAGGGGAAAAAAAGGAAAAAAAAATCAGAGGAAATGAAATAAACTAAATGGCTGGCAGGATTGTCTGGGAGGGGAGGAATTGGGATGGGGGTGGGGAGATAGCGATGGCTCTGAGAACAGTCTCAAGTGAAGGATTTTTGTCCCTGTCACATGCTGACCGACATCAGACAGAGCCTGTCTCTTTAGGTGAGTCCCTCCCCTAAAATCTCATCGGAAAAAGCCCATGGGATGGAGGTGATCTTAAAAAAAAATCACATCAAGAGCTATACACATATGAAAGATAAGGGGTGGCTTGGCCCCTTCCCCACCCTGTCCCTGGGAAGGCAGGTCTCACTCCCTTTTCTTGGAGGCTGAACAATTGCTTTTTTGTGGAAGAAGATGATGTCAGCGGCTCGTCTCCTGGGGTGGACCTGGGCTTCTGAAAGGACTATTTAAGAAGAAACACACATTTATAGCCAGGGAATAGGAACTATAAAAATATTGCCTTCAGACAAAAAGTGTTTTGATGAGGATTTTAAAACTGTCACCAGGGTTTTATTTTCTTTAATAAATTGCTGTTTGCAGCACATCCCCTGACCGCCCTGTGGAATTGGTGTGTTTATGCCACTGGTTGCTATTTTAAAGTTGCTCTAAGCTGTTTTCCAGAGTCTCGAGTTCTCACAAACAAATCTATCCAGCCTCACTGCTATTTCTCCATTAATACTCAAGACTGAACATGTTTTGAAGGCCACGTTCAGAGGTTCCAGGGCAGCATTTAGAGGACGTGGCAGGACTGAACTTGGATTCTAGCACAAGCAAGGCTGAAATGCTTGGAGCAGAGTTTGATTTCAGCATATGTGTGGAGTTGTCTTGTTTCTACTTGTGGCTATTTCTTGCAGTTGTGACTGCTAAAAGTGTTACAGGATTTGAAGAAAGGGAAGGAGATGGGTTTTAGGGAAGGGGGGTTAAAAGACTCTGCTGAGTTGAGACAGCGTTGCATAGAGACCAAGGGCAAGAACTCTGATCGCTTGTGATGAAAATCGCAGATCAGCTGGCTGTGCTGGTGCACACCTGTTGTCCCAGCTACTCGGATCTCTTGAGTGCAGGAGTTTGAGGCCAGCCTGGGAAACATAGCTCCACTCGGCCTCAAAAAAGGTAAAATAAAATCAGTCTGGGCATGGTGGTTCACGCCTATAATCTTAGCACTCTAGGAGGCAAGGTGGAGGTGGGAGGATTGCTTGAGCTCAGGAGTTTGAGACCAGCCTGAGCACAAGTGAGACCTCATCACTTCTAAAAACAAAAAAAATTAGCCAGGCATGGCGGTGCACGCCAGTAGTCCCCCAGCTACTCAGGGAGGCTGAGGAAGGAGGATGGCTTGAGCCCAGGAGTTTGAGGTTGCTGTGAGCTAGGCTGACACCATGGCACTCTACCCTAGGCAACGGAGCAAGACTCTATCTTTAAAAAAATCTCAGATCTGTCACTTGCCAGTTAGTTGTGTGACAGTGGTCAGACTTTGTCATCTCTCTGGAACTTGGTGTCCTCATCTGTCTTGCAGATGGCAGAGAAAACCAGCATGTGTTTAAAATGTGCAGAGCCACATCTCGTCACAGTAGTTGATCAGTCAAAGGGTGTTTGAGCTTCCTTCACTACCGTGATGTAGGTACACGCAGCATCACACCTGCGTAAGGTTCTCAGACTCACCCCTGCCCTGCTCCGACCCCACAGCTTTGGTCCCATTTGCAGCCACAGTGAACATGTTTTTATCATAGAACTTCTAAAACATGCGACTATTTCACATTTATCCCCATCCTCCTCCCCCAATATTTGACCTTGGACTCGGACCTTGTCTTATTTTCTTCTGACTTCCTAGACCAGCACTGTCTAATAGAAGCACGCAGTTGACGCACATGGGTAGCGGCTGCCATATTGGGTAGCAGCTGCCATATTGGGTAGCACAGTTCTTCTAGTGCCTGGCCAAATGGCTAATGCTCAGGGGCATTTTGAAAAGGGGTATTCTATGAAATGACTCAACCAAGAGGTTT